GCCTGTGTCTTCTGATTGCTCCTCCAGAATGAGAATCCATTTTCCTCTTGCCAAATGATGTTGATGTTATTGGGCTTATGAGCAGGGCATCCATTTCCTTTGTACCATAGCTGGGCTGGAGATTAGTGAGTGAGAAGAGTTGAATCATTGTATGAAATTGTTCAGACTGTCCAAGAAAGTTTCATATCCTTAAAAAGCATCCTTTTGCCTGGGAATCTATGAGTGAAAAACTTAAGAGTGCTATGTTATTAAATCAGAAAACTAATACAAGTAGCTCTATATTGATATGCAAATTTAAAAGACCACATCTAATTATTGTCAACAAAATAATAATAGAAAAACAAATCAAGGAAAAGATTGAGAGAAAAATGGGACCTATCTATGCCTATCATCAATCTGTCAGTCTATCTACCTATCTGATCTGTTATCTATTTACAAATTAAAAAGTAAGATTTTCCTATTCTGGTGGTTATAATGAAATCCCCTCAGTCGACTATCAAAGCTGCCATCTTTAGATCATCATATGCAGGAGCCTCTAGTGTTCTGAGGGACATGAAATGGGTTTGGAATCACTCTCTTTAGTGTCACAGCCTCATGGTTCAGGGCCGCATCCTACTACAGCTGCTTCAGCAGGCTCTGAGTTCTCCCTGCATGGTCTCTTTCCAGGGTCTCAGGCTGTGCACCTCCCACAGTCTGTGACAGGCTCCACCTATTCCTTTTTGCAGTCACTGGTACATTTGGCTCCCAGCTATGTTGGAGTTCTGCTGGTTCTGAAGCAAGTCCTCAATCTCCCTCAGCCCTGCAAGAGAACTAAAGGTCATGCATGGGGTGTTCCTGCACTTATATGGCAATTTCTCCCCACTCCAGTTGCCTTCATTCTATGGGTTTCTCTCAAGCTTGCAGTTGCTGCTGTGCTTGGTTCTTGGAGAGAGATAGAGAGGGGAGGACAAAAGCCCAAGCCAAGACCTTTTAGACATCTCTCACCAACCCCAGTGTTTGCCACTTCTGTCTCTGCCTCTGTTCCCCAATCTCTCTCGGGGTCACAGTCAACTCAGTGTCCTGTGGAGACTAAGATACAGTGTCCATTTTCCATGTGATATGTGGACAAGGATAAAAGCTTAACAGACTGCACACCGGGAAGCTGCTTGTGTTTTGCTTCTTGTACTTTATCACAGGGGTGAGGAAGGCTATGCAGAGAAAGAAAGGGGCACAGGGACATTTATCACCATTACTTTCTTCTAGGCCATCTGTGCAGAATAATTCTTAATATTTATGAGCTGAAAAGCTCATAAAACTCAGCAGCTAGTGAAAGGAAAACTAAAGCAAAAACTCCATACAGCCTCAATATACAGGGTCATTATACAAAAATAATAAAGAAAAGAGCAACATGAGTATATAGCAAATGCAATCTCTATTCTCCAGAAATTTAGCAGACAAATGTAATGGCCTCAGTGAACAATAAAAATGGGAATAAGTCCATAAATGAGAGCTAATTTAATACTAAGAACTTTTTAGATATGGGGTTAGCCAGTTTGACTCTTGGTTTACAAATAATTCTTAAATTTCTGAGTCATGGTGTGTTAATGGCTTGTGTTTAGATGCCCCCCAAAGCCTCATGCACTTTTAGGGGTGGCTAAATCTAGTGTGCGATTTATTCATGGTGGGGGTAGTCCTGATGGCACTAGAATTAAGGGCATGTGTGCTACTCACCTTAAGTAGTCTGAATAAGGTAAAAGGGGCAGAAAGATGCTGTTAAGGTCCCTTGTTGCTTTGTTACCTCTGGCCCCCATAAACTGTTTCTCTTCTGCCAAGCCACCCTGCCTTGGAGCCAGCTGATTATAGACTGAGACCTCTGCAAACTATAAATCAAATAAGTCTTTCCCTCTTTAACTTTGGGTGTTGGGTATTTTGTCTCATCAATAAGATGAAAGTAATTAACAGAGAAAATTTGCTACCAGAGAAGTGGGGTTGTTGCTGTGACATTACATGGCCATGTGGCTCAAGAGCCTTTGAAACTGGCTTGTGGGAAGGGGAAGAGTTAAGAAAAGTTTGGGGATGCTGGCTGAAGAAGAGCTGGAATGCCGTAGGCTGTTCTATATGGGAAGTTCTGGTTAGAGCTCAGAAGATGAGAACGCCAGTAAAGACCAGACTCAAGAGGTCTGCACTGACTGTTGGACTCCAGATCCATGTATGTTATGGCTTGGCACTTTTCTTGTGTCCAGAGACTTTGCCAGAGTCTGAGATTAAGGCTGGTGGTCTAATTAATATGGCAGAAGAAATTTCAAGGCAGGCTAAAGTGGAGGCCATGGCGTGGCTGCTGTTGGAGGCTTTTAGGTGGATCTATGTTTAGAATCAAGAGCAAAAAGCTCAGCAGAATGATTTAAAACATTTTGAGTTTTACCAGCAAGGAAGCTTCAGTAAAGTTGTGGCCTGCAAACACAGCTCTTGATTGCTAAGAAAGAACAGAAGAAAAGATGGCCTGAAGGCATCAAAAGCAGCAGCAGGACTCTACCCTTTGCAGCCTCAAAATTGCAAAAGTAAAAGACTTTGCTTTGAGAAGAAAGCCCCAGACAGTGGTGTTTCAGAATGGCAGCAGCTGCACCATGTTCCAGAATGGTGGCAGCCTAGAGAATTTGTTCCTCTGGACTGGATCCAGAGTGCTCAGTGATACAGCCACTCAACCCCTACAGTCAAGGGAGAAGGAAGCCTGGCTACTGCTCCAGCTGGCCGCAGACCTTGGCATTATCTATGAAGCACTGGTTTGAAGTACATGCAAAATACAAGAGTTGTAGAGTCAGGAAGGCGTCCACCTAGATTTCAGAAGAAAGCCTGGGAGGCCAGGCAGTGTGCTCCTAAAAAGGCAGTATGTGGAGCTATGAATGCAAAGCCAAAGGTACAGTGGAGAATCCAAGAACATGGATTGTTTGAGGAAAAGTGCAAGGAGGGAGCAGAGCTGGCCCAAGAGAGAAGCCACGGGAGCTAAAACCACTGGCAGTGTCATAGGGGTGGAGCCACGCAAGCCTTTTACAGTTCATAATTTGACACAGATTGCCTCAGATGCTGGAAGTAGAACTGTGGTTTTTAATGCTTGTCCTACTGGATTTTGGTCTTGCTTTGTTTCCAGTCCTTGCTATCCCCATTTGTAACTTTTGGAATGGTAATATCTATCCTGTGCCTTTGAATGTTGGATGTGTTTAACTTTATTTTCTTTTGTACATGGGCTTGCAGCTAATAGTTTACCTAAAATGGCAGAGGAGTCTTTGGACTTGAACTTTTCAACAATGGTGAAACTGTTAGGACTTTGACAACTCTTTGAGATGGACTAAATGCTTTTTTTGCATAAAGGGATGTACATGAGTCTTTGGAGGGCCTGGGGTGGAATGTTATGGCTTGTGTTTAGAAGTCCCCCCAAACCCTCATGCTTTTTCAGAGGTGGCTGAATATAGAATGATTCATGGTGGGAGGCCCGAGGGCACTAGGATTAAGGGCATGAGTGCTACTCACCCTAAGTGATCTGAAAAGGGCAGAAAAGATGCTGTTAAGGTCCCTTGTTGCTTTGTTACTTCTGGCCACCATAACTGTCCTCCCCCACCCCAGCATTGGGGCCAGCCAATTATGGACTGAAACCTTTGCAAACTGTAAGCTAAATAAACCCTTTCCCCTTTAACTGTGGTATTTTGTCTCTGCCAAAAGAGAGAAAAGTAACTAACACATGGTTTAAAGGAGATACATGAGGCAGAGAGTGAAAGAACAAGTGTTTCATGAAAGAGCACATTAGAAATACTCACCAATGTGTGTGTGCATATGTATTATCATACTACATATTAACTATATTATATATGTATGTAACATATTATTTACTGTATTAATGATCTGCAACCTAATGTCAACAAACCACCTCATCAAGAACTCTTCATGGACTGATTATCAGAAATAAGCCATGAAGCCTTTGTTTGAGATTCTTCCATTTGAATTAAATACCTATTTATTATAATTCTAGAATTGGCAATGGTTAACATATTAAAACAGATGATAGATAAACTATGTATAAGTTATACAGTGGTACCTCAGTTCATGAACTTGATTTTTTCCACAATTCTGGTTGCAAATTGAGTTGGATAAGAACTGAATCAAATTCAACAAGTAGGTTCGATATTGACCTTATGGGGAAATTTGATTCAGTTCTCATCCAGTTTGGTTTCTGACCAGAATCATGGAGAGAACTGAGTTTTTGAACCAAGGCACCACTGTAGTTACAAATATAAATTTGACTATATAGTTATATAGACATGGAGTATTACATATCAAATTATATATTATACAGTTAATACAGAGAAGGGGAAAGCAAATAAGAACCAATCTTATTTTACCACAGAAAAAATTCAATTTAAATAAATAATTCAAATATTTTTAATTCATCATATCAGCAGAGAATTTTAGTAACAATACTGGATACTGAAAGTGACCATTAGTCCTGTCACTGGATTAAGAAATGCCAAATAGATTAGTAAAGCAGGCTCCTGACTGTGTCTGAGAACCTTTCTAGCTCAGAGGCCTGATAATTAACAATGTATCATCAAAAACTATTGGTAGAAAAAGTCATGAAGCTCTGTTTGACTTTCTTCCATTTTGATGGAATATTTATTTATTTTTTAACCGTGAAAACTGGCAACAGCTCAAAGCAAAGAAATAGTGGTTTACTGCCCACTTGATTAATAGTCTTGTGTCTCTTCAATTCTGGCCTGTAACTGGTGTGATTGTTGTATGGCCCCACTCCTCAGGGGCTCTTTCCATCTTGCTTTGTTCCACATTTCTCACTCAGAGAGATAGAGAGACACTGTATTATACTGAAATACATGAAAAGGCATGAAGAAGTGATTCATCAATTTCTCTCATCCATCTAATTATCATTGGATAATTAAGTATGTCATAGGACTTAAAACACTGATAATGCCTTCTGTCCCTTGTTAACCACACACTTGACATTTTAAAACATCAAACTTGCCTTTATAGTGGCTTTGCTTCTGGCTGCAGATAACAGATTAGAAAGAGCCTTAATGAGAATGGAAAAAAAGAAAGTATGATTTTTAATCATCACACAGCATTCCAGCCTGTTTCCTGATCATTTAGGAAAATTCACAGTGCTATAACTATGGAGAAATACAGATTGAGTATTCCTTATCTGAGCTGAAGAGTTGAGTATTTGTATATGATAATGAGATAACTTGGGGATGGGATTCAAGTCTAAACATGAAATTCATTTGTGTTTCACATACACCTTGCAGACATAGTATGAAGGTAATTTTTATAGCATTTTACCACACCTGTGTAAAAACTGAAACTTGTCACATGAGGTCAGGTGTGGATTTTTTTTTTTTTTTTGTACCCAGGATCAAAGTTGGTATCTTGCACTTGAAAGGAAGACTGTGGAACCACTGACTAGATCCTGGCCCAGGTGTGGAATTTTCTAGTTGTAGCTTCATGTCAGGGCTCAAAATGTTTCAGATTTTGGATTAGGAATGCACAATCTATATCTACTTTTGTGCTCATGTTCTTATCTAATAATGCAAATAGCTAACATTTGTATTGTAAAAGATGTTACCTTAAAATCCACTGAGAGAAAGTATAAGAATGAGGAAGAAAGACAGCATTGCTTGTGCCTTTATGTCTTCTGGAAGCTATATTTGTGGAACTGTCCAAGAGAATAAAAGAATTCATGTTATAGATTTTAAATGCAAAAAGGGAATTAGAAAATAATTATAGTGTGTGACTCCAGATTAAACTATTGTACATTTTCACAAATAATTCTTCTGTAGCTATTAAACATGATATTGTCAAAGTTCAATAGCATGGAAATTCTTAACATGTAAAAATCAGATTATAATACCATTTTTAAATTACATGGTCCCATTTTTGAAGCTTCATTCACTTCTGCACATAGGACACTAGCAGGATGTATCACTAAACAAACACTAGGATGTTAGATCTAAGATCAGGTTTCACATATGGATCAAACCCTGCCATTGATAGGTGCAGAAAACAGCTACAGAATGAATAAAGGTTTGACATTGATTCAAAACAGCTGTGAAATGAATAATGATTTGACACTGATTCAGCTATATATAGTGTATTCAATATATACAATAGTATATATTCAATATATATTCACTATATACATATTATTTATATTCAATATAATATATAGTATATTCAATATATATTAAACTATATATATATTATTTATAAGGCTTTCTTACAAGAGACACATTGAACACATTGTTTTTATAGTAAAATACACTAAAAATCAATTAAAGTGCCAATGACATTATCGGTGATGTTATTTATAAGCATTATTCATTGGAAAAAAACAACAAAGCCTAAAAATATATTTCTGTTTCTGCCAATAGTAAAAACCATAAGTCAGCCATTAAAATAGTTTACAAAGATCTTCTCAAAGACTCAAAAAAGTAAGAAAATATAGATAACAAAATGTGTGATATATAATATAGTTCCAACTGAGTAAAATCATCCCAATTTTCTCTATGATGAGAATATAAAATTTTTACTCTTTAAAAATAGCTTTTTAAAGGTGTAGGGGAAATGGGAAAGGTAGGAGTAAGGTAACAGGGAAAAGGAAAAAAAATGAGAAAATGGAAATAAAGTATTTGTAAAAAGGAAAGGGAGGAGGGGGTGAAGGGAGGGTAGGGACAAGGGGAAAAAATGAGAACCAAGACTTGTCATGTAAAGGTACAAGATCCCAATGATGAATGGAGCTCTACTGTATACCTAAAATGTACCAATAAACTCAATGAGAAAAAAATAAATAAAGTAAAAAACTGTAAAAAAATAGATTTTTAAAAATAGCATATAATTTTAAAGCCTTTAAAAGAAGATTTTAAAGAAATAATTTGAAAGTTCTACTACTGAAAGAAAACTTCTAAATTCATTGTAAAATGAGTTTAGAATGGTTAAAGCTATCCTAAAAAGCAAAATTAGATTTTTTCATGATATTTTAGACAAATAGAACCTAGTAGATTAATAATGTAGAGTTTTATTTTTACATGTTAAATATAAAAAGAGAATAACTTAATATACTAATTTGGGAGAGGATCTTTTCAACATGACTGTGTATTTTCCATTACAGTGAAATGTATGTAAAATTTTTTAAAAAGAAGAAACAGAACAACCAAATAGGAAAATCTAAATCTAATAGGAAAAACACAATATGACAACCTTTTCATTCTAATACTGTATATCTCTCTCAGAACAATACTGAAATATTTAGTAAAGTGAAAACTGTTGTAAAATAGCATTAGTTATAAAAAAGTATTTTATATTTTTCTACAGATGTATATGAATGTGTAATATACAAAGATATATATCACAATGATTATCCTGGAATAGAAAGATTAGAGATAATTGTTAAACTCATTTTTCTACTGTGACAATGTGTAAATGTATAAAACCTTTTTCTCCCTTATAGGGAAAAAAATTAGGTCTTTTTTCAAGGAAAAATTAACTCAGATCCACTAAAGTTAGTATAAATTTGGGACATTCCATGTCCACTGCCCCAGTGTGGGACAAACTGTTACAGGTTCATCTTCCCACTCCATATAATGAATCTGGTATATTCTACATTCTCTTAAAATTTCCAGCATCCTCTCTTCCTATCTCCCTTTCAGCTGATGTTCTTGCTTCATTACTTATTTTTCACCAGTTCTTTATAACTGCTTCCTTCTCTAACTACCACTTCTACCATGGCATTAACAGCTGCGTGAACTCTTCCTGCTGCTTCTTCTGCTCTTATTTTTAAAGTGTCCAGAATCCCACATTGTTTTACATTCAAAAAAATGTGTCTCTGCAGTTATCTCTGTTGTCTGTTACATCATCAGTTCATTATCTCTCTACGAGATCAAGTCCATAATTGTAAACGATATGACTTTATATATAAAGTTAGAACTAATAAATAATTTCAGGATAGAAAATCCACAAATATCAGTAGCTGTTCTGTACATCGATAACAAAACTGCTGAGAAAGACATCAAGAATGCTAATGAAATACCATATAATACCTAGGATTAAATTTAAACCAGCAAGTGACTACCCCTACAAGGAAAATTACAGCACAAAGAAAGTGAAAAATGTGCATGCATGTGCATGCACAAACACACATGCACAAGGAAATACATCTCATGTTCACAGATAGAAAAAAATCAATTATGTAAATGTATCAATACTACATAAAAATGATCTACAAATTCAATGTAGTCCCTATCAAAATACCAAAAATGTTCTTCATAGAAATAGAAAAATTATTACTAAAATTGGCACTGAACCACTAACGACCTTGAGTAGCAAAAGTATCTTGATCATAAAGAAAAGCTGGAGTATCTCAATGGTATACAAACAGACACATACACATGAAAAATCCATATTATCTGTTTGTAAGTATGTTAGATATATAAGCACTCACATGTTTATTGCAACATTAATATATCTAACATATAGAATCAACCTTGGGGTTCCCTGATAGATAAATGGATGAAAATAATGTGACATATGTACACAATGCAACATTTTTCAGTAATAATAGAGAATAAAATTTTGTCAACTGCAGCAACACAGATTGAACTGAAGGACATTTTGTTATGTGAAATAAATCAGGCACAAAGAGACAAGTACAGGATGTGCTTACTTATATGTGGAAGCTAATAAGTGGATTTCATGTAAGCAGAGAGCAGAAGAGTGATTACCAGAGCCTAGGAAGTGTGGCCAGAAGGGGAGAATGTTGAGAAAGAAGATGGTTAACAGGTACAGGGGAACAGCTGTAGAGGAGGAATAACTTCTTGTGTTTAGCATTAGCATAGAAAGATAACTAGTTGATAACACAAAGCAATGTTAGCAGCACAAAGAAATTATAAATGTCAGAGGTAACAAGCATGCCAGTCAGCTTAATCTGATCATTACACTTTGTATACAGTTTTGAAATGTCACATTCTGATCATTACACTTGGTATGAATGTACTGAAATGTCACCCCCTAAGTATGTATAATTACTATGTGTCAAAAAAAAAAAAGGAAAGGTGCAGAGAATGGTATAACAAAGCCACTCTCCTAGGAAAGATGATTGACTTACCCATAAATATCATGTAAACTAGTCCAAGTAATTCTACTAGAGCAATGATAACCAAACCTGAAATTAAAAGAGGGCCATGCACTGCTATACATGCTGTAAAGACAAATTAAATCTTGTATTAGACATGCCTACAAAATAACTTTTTGAATATATAAACAACAACGGCAATAATATCAACTTTTTCATTTTATTTTTTTTCTCATTGAGTTTATTGGTACATTTCAGATATACAGTACAGTTACATTCATCATTGGGATCTTGTACCTTTACATGACAAGTCTTGATTCTCATTTTTCCCCTTATTCCTGCCCTCCCTTCCTAACCCCCTCCTCCCTTCCCTATTTACAAATACTTTATTTCCATTACATCAACTTCTAAGGGGAGTAATTCTTTTTCTAATGATAAAGAAATAAACCACCTATATCTGCTCATGATTAATAACTCAATGTAATTTATTGTAAGAAAATAATATCTCCTTTGTATAGCATACCTTATCATATTGAGACTCCAGTGAACTGGCAACTGGTTATTTTAAAAATTCTTTTACAAATATAGCTATATAATTTTCCAGCCAGAAAAATTAGGTCACAAGTCTTAAACAGGCACTATCTTTAAACTAATGTGGAAAGCATTATTCCTACTTGGAGGTAGGTGAGAATGAAAAAAGAAAAGCTCACCATACTAAATGCTGGGAAGTTAATGAATAAACAGGAATTGTCATTCATTGTTGGTAGTGATAAAACTAGTGCAGCCATTCCGATACAGAGAATATCGAGTTTGTTATAAAACCAAATGTAACTTTTACATACAATCCAGAAAGTGCACATTTGGTATTCACCCAAATGAAGTTGAAAATTTATGTGTACATAAAACATGGAACATATGTTTAGAGAAGCTTGATTTTAAAGTTACAAAAAAACTGAGAGCAACCAAGATGTATCTCAGTAGTGAAAGCATAAGCAAACTGTGGTATATCCACACATTACAATACAATGCAACACTAAACAGCAGTGTGCTCTCAAGCTGGGCAAAGACAAAGGGAAAGTGAAGATGCTATTTCTAAGTGAAAGAGCCCACATGAGAATGCCTCATACCTATGACTCAACTGTAAAACATTCAAATTGCAATAAGAGATAATAAACTGAGGAGATAATAATAAGTTTAAGGTTGTCAGGGAGTGGGGAAAGGAAGAGATGAATTAGTCTGTATGATGCTCTCCTGGTGGGTATATGTCATTACACACTTGGCAAGGCCATTAGAACATACAGTACCCAGAGCGAGCCCTAATGTAAGTAGACTCAAGGTGACGATGTGTCAGTGTTTGTTTACTGATTGTAATGAATGTGCCACCTTGGTGAGGGATGTTAAGGAAAACTGTAGCCTTATGGAGTATATGGATGGGTGGGGAGTATATGGGAACTTTGTACTTTTAATTCAACTTTACTGTGAATCTAAAACAGCTCTAAAAAATAAAGTTTATATTTTCTTTAAAGGAGGAAAGAAAAAGTTCTGTCAAAGAGAAATCCAAATTAGGACTACAGAAAAATGTTACTCTTACCAGAGATACAAAGATGCAATCCAATTATAGCAAGTATATAGCCCACCAACTGAATGCTTGATAATATGCTCATAACATATATAGTGATCCCAATACCTGGGGAAAGGCAAAGAACGTGACAGAAGTGCATTAAGAGTACTGATAAAACAATCACTTCTACACAAATGGTGCATTTAAGGGTAAAAATCTCATGACCAAAGACAGACTCTGTGGTTCCTTTTCGGACAGCACAGGCCTTTACAGTGATCTAAATTTTCCACTCAATTATCAGCTCTAATTCACACATTCAGCAGCCTTTTATTATTGTCAGTCACCTGAGCAGAAATGGCACTTTTTACCCCAAATCTTAGAACAATGGTGCCTAACCACACTTGTGAATTTTACAGTATGAAAGGATATTATGTATAGCTTCTCCACAGCCACAGAAAATTGCTCTAGTACAGAAAAACCATCATGCAAAGGTGATTATAGACATCATGACTTCTATGTTGCGCATTTAGATCAGTTATTTATAATGAATACCTTTTCAGTGTATAGTTCTTAGACCCAGTGTTCAATGGGACTCTTAACAACAGCAAAAAATGTTAGTGATTTAGTGTCAAAACGTGGAGAAAATGATAGTGATTATAGTTAGGATTGCCCTGCTGTCTTATAAAACTCGTGTCAGTTTCTATTTGTGATTTACAGCTTCACCTTGTAGAATTGATTTCCCATGCAGATACTCAGCAAGGAGAAAGTGTGTGCTTACAAGTACCAAAAAAAAAAAAAAAAAAAAAAAAAAAAAAAAAAAAAAAAAAAAAAAGAAATGTAAAAAAAAAAAAAAAAAAAAAAAAAAAAAAAAAAAAAAACAAAAAAAACTGAAATCAAAATGTGAAGGTAATCTTTAAGATATATGGCATAATTTAAAATTATGCTGACTGGCATCAAGTACAGGTTGAGCATGTCTAATCTAAAAATCTGAAATGTGATGCTCAAAAATTTTGGATTTTGGATCCTACTGGATTTTGGATCCTCAAATTGGGAAAGCTTAATGAATGAAGTCTTGTAATTATTTCAAAATCTGAAAAACTCCAAAATATGAAGCATTTTTTGTTCAAAGCATGTCAGAGAAGGGATATACAACCTGTATATATGAAAATCACTTTTTGCAAAATGACTTACTGTTCTGAAGACATAGAAAATTTTAAAATTCAACTGCATGGGAATATGTCACTAAGAATAGCATGGAAAATATTTTAATAAATGAACATTTATTGAGTTGTAAAAATTACAAAAATATTTTCACTAAAACTGTTTTTTAAAAATGAAAAGGTAGATAAAATCATGCTGAAACATCAGATACTCACCTGGAGTGAATCTGTAGAATTGAAGTAATACTAAAAGCACTGAAGGACTTACGAGTAAATGAAGTCCACGGACTCTCTTTTTGGAATATTCTCCTGTTAATAATTAAATATATTTAAGATATTTCCTACACACTTCTACTCTTTGAGAAGGTTTTGTGTTTAACTTGCTAAGTGCATTCATTTCAATATTTCCCCCATAAGCTGTGAGTTAATAATATTTCTCCCAATAATTCCCATAAAATAAACAGTTTTTAATTATTAAAGACCAAACTTAAGAATCTAAATCTCAACATGCAAGTCTCAACATGGAGTTTTTTAATTGCTCTACCTGCAGAATCCCAGAGAAACTTGGTAATTGTGCTATATACTCTTCATGATATATTCAGTCTGTTCCCAAACCAAATCAATTGTACTTTCAAGTTGTCCTCTGCATTCCTCTACTCCCCATGTGCTTACCAGCTACAGATACAAATATAACTGTCAAACTTATGTCCTGAACATCATATCTACACTGCAGTCTCCTGAAGAAACCACAGAGTTGTTCTTCAATCCACCCCTTTGAGTCCCAGCCTGTCTTTGTGATTCTTTTCCATGTGTTCTCTGTCCTTATTTTCTACTCATACTTCCATCCCCCAGATGTAACTGTGACTAACATCTTGGCCAATTAAGTTTGCTCTGTAGTGGGCTTAATGGTAGCCCTAACAATATTCCCATCTCCTAGACTGTAGAACTGATGAATATGACTTTATAAAACAAAAAAGTGACTTACATTACATGGCAAAAGATGTAATTAAGGATGTCTAAGGAGGAGTTTATCCTAGATTTTACGGGTAGACCCTCATCTCAATGACAAGTATCCTTGTAAGAGACAGCCAGAGGGAGATTTGACACAGACACAGAAAGGAAGAGATATAAAGGTGAGGATGTGGCAGTGTGACCATGGAGGCAGAGATTGGAATTATGCTGTCAGAAGCCAAGGAATGCTATACATTATTACCAAATACCAGTAGAAGAGGCAAAGAATGGATCTTCCATTGAACCCCTGAGAGTGAGTTGGCCCTGATGACACCCTGATTTCAGATCAGTGGCCTCCATAGATGGGAGAAAATTTCTGTTGTCTGTAGTCATTCCATTTGCCATACCTGTAGTAGGAAACTACTACCCTTCCTCCCCAACCACGCTCTCAAATGCCCTCCTTAAACCAACCTGCATTCCCTCATGGGAACTATACATCTTACCTGGCGTGAAATAAAGGGCTCCAAAGATGGCAGTTAGGATGAGCAACAGTCCTTCAACTGATAAAATAATAATTTTCTTATCCATAAGATTGGATCTATATTTAAACACTTTAAAAAATAAAGAATTATATGAGCCAAATCACAGAGAAGCCATTTCTGTAATATAAGGTGCAGAATCAGACGGACCATTGTAACTGAGCAATCTCTGAGAAACAACTCCTTCATTTGTCAGTTCATCTCACATCTTTTTCAGAAGCCAACAGATAAATAGGCTTATAGCAGTATCAATGTGAATAATAACTGTGTAAAATGATATTTTAGTCCCCTCTATTTTAAAGTATAAAGTTACATAAATCGGGCTTTCTTAATTGAGGCAATTGATCCTTTGGAAAGATAAGATTTTTGTATGGGGGTCGATCTGTGCATTACAGAATATTAAGCAGAATCCTTGGACTGTGCATGAGATGCCAGTAGCAGTTCTTCAGTTATGTGAATTCTAGCATCTTTAGATATTGTTAATGACCCCGATGAGCAAAATCACCCCAGACTGACAGCACCACTGACACACATAATGCTGATAGGAAATAGGTGGACAAGTAGCAATGCTGAGAAAAAGAAAACTATATCCCACCTAATACAAAATTGCCAAAATGTCTGAAGATATGGATTTAAGAAAATAAAATAATTACTGAAAATAAGACACCCTGGTGAAACTTTAATGGAAAAAAAATGACTAAAATTAACTAAAATATTTTTATACAAATAAGCAGTAAAGCCTCAAATGGATTCATTGTAAATGTTATAATTTCTGATTCTAGGTTTTATTGTCAAGTGCCTGATACCCTCCCTGAAAGAATAATGTAATAGATATGCCTAAAATATTTTTTTACTCTCCACTGACCTTTTTCATTTTGGTTAGTATTAAATTTAAATTTGGTTGTTAAAGTTAATCTAAAATCAGACTGTAGCAGAGAAAAACAGGTTGTGTGAAAGAAAAATTTTGCTGTGTGCCAACCACATATAGATAGTCTCCGTGCCAGTAATTAACCAGTGACTACAGTGAAAATAAAATTAGGAAGTGAGGGGTGGTTATTTATTAAAGTAAAAGACATGCTGCCATTAACCCCCTTAAAATACTCTGTTGTCTCAAGCACATGTGCCACATTGCTCTTTTGACTTTCTGACGTAGTTCTGGAAGTCTTCTTTTGTGTCTTTATGGAGTATGATGAAAAACACATGAATGCCAGTGCTATGCGCCGTCTGATGGAAGTCATACTTGTACAATCATTATGGTGTGTCCTCCTTCAACTTATTTACCAGATCTTGTACCCTGTGAGGTCTAGCTCTTCCCCAAAGTCAAAATTACCATAAAAGGTAAATGTTTTCAATCAATTCAGAACATCAAGGCAGCAAAGACAGCGCAATTAATGACACCAAAACAGGACCTTCAGAACTGCTCCCAAAAGTGCCAAGAATGATGGGACAAGTGTGTCACAAGCAAAGGGGAACAGAAATTAATTGCAGTGTATCTTTTACTATAATACATTTTTAAAAAGTAAATATTCATCATAGCCTTTGATCATACATTGTAGTTTTAATGTTATATTTTGCACTTTTCTCCACTGAAACAAATGGACAGATTAAATACAGTAAAATTAACAAATTTCTAGATTACTACAATCAAAATTTATTTTTAAGGCATACTTTACAATGGTTTGAATCTCTATCTACACATTCTATAGATTATAACCTCAGCTTTGGTCTCTTTAGCAGGAGGCCTAAGCAACAATCATTTATGAAACTGAGTAACTGGAAGTCACATGAACAAAAAAAGAGAAAGCCATAGTAATCAGAAAGCACTGTATAGGATGTTTTATCTGTTTCTTGCATCCAGCCCTGGACCTTAACACAACTACTTCAGTTATATCCCTGCCTCCTTGTAAGGCACAGTTTTTACAACTTTCCTATATACTAGCTCAAATTTCAGTAAAAATGAAATTCAATGCATAGGTTATAAAAGGTACAGAGAAAAAGAAACTTTCTTTAAATATATGCCATGCATTCCATTCTAATCCCTTATATATAAAACATGTTAGCTACATAAAACTTGAAAGTTCTACAAAGGTTTACAAAATAAAGCTGTTTCAAACACACCTTACAATCAATTCGACATTCATAAGAGTCTTGTCCCAATTTAATTCATAAAACAGACAGTAAGATCAAGCAACAAGATTTTGTTTTAGGATGCAGTATACATTTATGCAAAAGACTGATTATATAATTCTTAACAAGAATGAGTTTGAACCTCATTCAACTCCTTCAGGCTCCATAGAGCTGCTGTAAGGGAAAAATAGCATCAGTACTACTAAATAAAATAAAACCCCCACAAAATCCTACTGTTGGTAGTGTTCTGACTTAACATAGCCTTTTCCCTTTGAGTATGAGAACAGTATACACTGAGTGTGGCTGTAGTTCCTACTAGTTGGTTCAATTACTACTTATTTGCAAAATTATTTTGAACTTTTCTTTAGATTTAGCAGCCATTTCCAACAGATATATTATGGTGTTTACTTAATTACAGTCAATGAAAGAACGCTTCCATATTTTCTTCAGAGAACGTCTGTAAAGAGCTCCTTTCGGCTCATTTTCTTTGCTCACAATGGCCACTTTTTACCAAAGTCTACCTCAAAGTGAGGGACAGGTATCTTGTTGCCAGTCCAGCTGTCAGTTTTCTCAGCTACACTGAGATGCCACAGAGCCCAATGATATCAAGGGCCTGTTATTAATAATCTTTTCCTGTCTTTTAAATGGGCTTACCCTTATGTATAAGACTTATCAAACAATTACATATAACAAAGACAGCAAACACAAGTCATTCTCCAAATACTTAGGATTAAGATAAAAATAATGTATTCTTAATAGCAGACTATTATCAAACTTCCTTGTATGAATCTCTGACTATTTAGCAAGACAATCTGTACAGATTTAAAGATCTGCATGATTTTAAACATTTCCCTCAGCTAAATATTTAAATCAATAAATCAAATAAGATACATGAGAAATAACAGTATTTAAATTTTTAACAAAAAAAGCAGAGGAATACCAAACATCAGGAGAGGTAATATGACATTTTTATCAACAAATTATCAACAAAAATTTCCCTTTTATTTTAGAAAACATGCTGTTTAATTTCAACATAATTTCAGAGTATACAAAATATATTTTAAGAGTCTAGCAGGCTATTTCTCAGAAAAATGTTTTAGATTGGGTCATCACTTTATTCAACAAATATATACTCTCTACCTACATTGTATCAGGTCAGTGCAAATGAAGGGATAAGTAGATGATTATTGAGTAATGATTGGTCACTATGAACCATGTGACAATCACTATTGTAAGTATTTGAAAATGGACAAATAATGCAAACATAAGCTCTGTCTCAAAGCCTTTACATTCTGGTAGGTGAGTCGTGTGTTGGGTCTAGGGGTAGATGATGAGAGGTGATATTCCAGACTTTCCCCAGTTAAATATAAGACACTGTTCTCCTGTAGTCCAAGAAAGGTTTTTTTAATGTTTTAAAATCCAGGATTTTCAAATCCTGGAAAGAAGCAAGGACGTGTCCCTCTAGAAATAAAGTGCTAATGTTATGAACAGAAAGATTTTCTGGTCCCTTTGTGAGATATGGAGTACATACATATAGGACAGAGTGCAGACTGTAGCTGATAAAATCTAATAAAATTACCAAGTCAATTTGGGGATAAAATAAAATCTACCACATGAAGTTTTCATGATGCTCTACAGACTGGATTTGATACACCCATGCATGCTCATACAGACTGGTCTACCTAACAAAATCTAAGAATTCAACATTTGTTCAAGGACAGTAAGTAAGTGGTCAGTGATTGAGAAGAGACAAGTGTGCTTACCAGTGAGAGGAAATACATATCAGATTAAGAATAAATCACACAAAGAAAAACAAGCAATTTATTTAATTATACAGCACTATTTTCTGATTATAAAAATAATTTAGAATACTTTTGGCACCTGTTGAGCTGTAAACAAATATTTTCAATGTAGGATGAAGTACATCTGATAATTTTTAAAATCAAATTGCCGTTTTCAATTTTTGAATAAGTTAAAATAGTATTTTAAAAATATTTAACACATTCATTTAATATGCAGATGCAGCAGTAGCACACGCCTGTAATTCCAGCACTCAGGAGGCTGAGACAGGAGGATCACTGTAAGTTTAAGGCTAGCCTGGGCTACCGAGTGAGTCCAAGACCACCCTGGATTACATAGTACGACCCTGTCTCCAAAACAAAACAAAACACACACACAACACACACACACGCACACACACGCACACACACACACAAATACAGGCTTTGTGAAACTATAGACATTACTCACCTTACTCTGATGAAACAATGTTGTCAAAAGGAATATGACTAAACACCACACTCTCAGCTGAATGTGCTGTTAAGAGGTGGGGCCTGGTGGATCACTGGAGATGTGACCTGGAGCAGTTTATCTCCCTCTCTGACTCCTCTCTTCTCCCTCTGCTGCCCAGATGTCATGAGTGTGAGCAGCTCTCCTCCACCTTGTCTTTCCACCATGTGGTTTCTATGTTGGACCTGCCTAACTACAGATTGAAACTTCTAACATTTTGAATTCAAATTAACCTCTATTCCTTTAAGTTGTGAGTGTCAGATATAATATCTAGCAATAGGAAAGCGACTGAGACACCTCCCTGCAATAGTCAGTGCTAAACCATGATTTAATAACAGAATGTGGTCATTATGTAGATAGGACCAATGCAAAACACTGTATGTCCAAGATGATCAAATAGAATTCATATTAAACTTAATAACAAAGTCATATTATTAGAGGATTATCATCAGTCAGGTCACAGAATTATTCTTTGTAATAATATTTATTGGAAAAATATTTTGCCTTCTAGAAGATTCCAGTGCAATTTAATAAATGTCCTCACTTCTTTGGAAAGATCTTTCCTAACTAGTGAAAAAATTGCCTTCTCCATTACTTTTAAATATGCTTTCATGGCCAAATTACTTTGATTATTATTAAGCAAGGTCTGAAGTCTGTGCTTCAGGAATTAAAAGGACCTGAAGGCTGTTTTGTCAGAGAAATATTTTCCTTGAATTTCCAACAATGATTTCCGAATACCTGAGCTAACCAAAATCATTTTGAAATAATTTTGAGGGACAAGAAACTTAGAAAAGGAAATGCATGATGCTCAGAATACATAATTTAATGTAAATTAACAGCAGTCCTCACTTCCTATGGTTCTGATATACATGAGTATGGTTCAATTAACGTGAGTCCCTCAAAATACAGATTAAATTTTAGCTACACTAACAGATGAAGAGAGTACATAAAGCACAAACTTCACTGCTATCTCTTCAGCCTACAAATCAGTACACAAATAGCTCATGTGCATTATGATTAGTGACCAGTCATGCCGCTGCTTTTGAAGACCATTGGTGACTGGCCAGTTATTCAGCTAGCATACACATGTAAGCATGTAGCTGTGCTATTCCTTGTTTCTGGGTGACAAAAACCACAAGGCATATTATAATGGATTATCAAAAGAGGAAATTGGGCAAGAAAGATGGAAGAGCAGAGAAGTGAAAAGTGAGAATGCACAATATGAAATGTGAAGAGACCACAGTGGAGTGGGAAAAGATGTGGCTTACCGGGGACCTGACACACCGCCACAGCGCCTCCTTGAAATGCATCCAAGGTGAAGTGAAGGTGAACTCATCAGCACAAATGAGGAAAATGAGGATGATGTGACAAAAAGAATGAGATGTTCCAGAGGAAGTCACCCTGGCAAAACACAACTAAAGGGAAGCCACCAGTAACAACAACAACAAAAACAAAAACATTTAAAGCAATTTTCAGAGACATTTCATGATATTAACAGTACAAAGTAAAACATGCAGAAGCTGATCCAAACTTAGAATTGAGAATGACAATTTACCAAAGTATGGAAAAGAAACAGAAACAGAATTAGAAAATTCTCAAAATGAATTCAATATGGTAAATAGAACTGTTCAAATCTCAATGACTGCCAAGAAACAGGTGAATACAGGCAAATTGCCTAAATTTCTTATTTACAAGATGGAAATAACAACACTGCCTGTACCTAGAGCTTCTGGGAGAGATACATTTGATCTAAGATGAAAAGTACTTTGCACAATGCCTGTCCTGCAGAGCAAGGGCTCTGAGATTTCAGCTCTCATTATCATCAGTACCTTTAAATGTGAGGCCAAGCTGGGTGACTCTTCTTACACACACACACACACACACACACACACACACACACACACACACACACACACAATTTATTTGTTTAAAATGAGCCAAAATAAAAATAAATTTCACCAAAATTTTTCTTTAGGCTCATAAACACATTCCTTAAAATATGATGGAGAGAAAATACAAAAATGAACATTCACCCTCACTAACCAAGAAATAAAATAAAAAGATGTGTTTTCAACCATCAAACAATGAAAGATTTCAGATTTATAACAATGTCAGAAATGTGAGGTGGAAACAGGTATTCTTTGCAGTAGTATTACTTGATAAAAAGGTCCTGGAACACTTTTTAGAATGCATATCTAATACCTTAAAACATCCCTGCATTTCTAGGCTCATACACCATTAGCAGAGTTACTTTCATAGTATCAAAATATTTGGGGACAACCTTAATACTGATCATGATAAAGTTCCATAAATTAGAGCCCACTTAGAGAAGTAGAGCGCAGGAAGTCAAGTCAAAATTTCTGAAGACATGGGGAAAATAAATCAGGATGTACAAGTATACAAGCTACATGAGAATAACATTGTTTCTCTTTTTTAAAGGAAGATAACAAAAAATAAAAAAAGGGAAGCAGAAAATTCACTAGAATACACAAGAGCACATTTCTAAATCTTAGGACAGCGGGCACTTTTTTCTATAATTATCAAACTGTACAGGGTATTTAAATATTATGAATGAGTATGGTAGTGCACACTATAGTCCTCTGGGAGGCTAAAGAAGGACTGCATCTTTGAACCTAGCCTGGGCTACACAGAGACCTAACAGGACCCCATCTCAACATTAAAAAGAAAGGTGGGGTGTGACTCAGTGTGATGGCCCTCATGGTCAACACCCGGTTCAGCCAAAAAATGGTTCTATATAGCCAGCCTTCTGCATCTATGATTTCTCTATCTACATATTCGCTGCACTGAGAATCAAAACTGTCAAAAGTTATGTACTGAACACGTGAAAACTCTAATTTTGTTATAACTCCCTAAACAGTATAACTATTTGCATACCATTTGCCTTGTATAAGTTACTAAAAATAACCTAGAGATGATTCAAACTATACAGAAGGTGTGCATAGGTGACACATGAACACTGTGCAATTTATGTAAGGGACTCCAGCATCCATAGATTTTTGCCATGTAGTCTGACAGACAACTCTGTTATTTTTTAATTCAGAAAAAAAAAATGCCAAAGCTTATTTTGTAAAAATATGGCTGATGGGAAACAGATTCACTCCTGCTTCATCCCACTCAAAATAATTTCACTATGACAATGGCACAATCATAAACTTCTATTAATCCAAATTCAACAAATGTGAAATAACTTTATGATCTTGCAAAAGGCTGTTCCCTACCCAAATGACACAACTTAACCCTTAAAGCTTGGGTCTGCCAATATGGTTAATGCTCTCCCTAACATCACTGATGACAGTGAAGGTCCTGAAGCTGTAACATTCCTTCTCCTGAAATAAAAGCTTTGCTGAAATTCTAAGAGTTTCCAAAAGAAGTCTAGACACTGACTTATAGTTAAGAGTTGTGAAATGTGTCGACTGTTGCCACTGTCGGGCTTTTGTTATCTCTTTTTTCCTTTTAGGCACAAGTTGAGAACATCTCTGAAATCCCTAAGCATTTTGAGTGCTATACATTGGGAAAAGTTCTTAAAATACATAGTCCATAATCTCTCTTCCATTTTTACTATGGATACACACAGATTAAACTTCTGAGGAAAAGAAAGATTCTTGAAAGACAACAGGCTGATCTACTACAATATTTGGCCAGCTTTTGTTTTTCTAAAGGTTGAAGAATAAATTAAATCAGCATTATACACTCCTTGCCTGTACAGATGTTTACTGGGCCTCAATGACTATTTCAGGGTATTATAGGGAAAGCAAAGATAAACCTTATATTTTAAAAGTTTACAATGAAACAACTGAACTTCACTAGTTTAGTAAGTTTCTTTCACCAAATTGGTATGTAAATGTGGTTGACTATAAACTCCGACCACAATGCATATCACCTGTTTACCTTGTAATGACAATTCCGTGCTATTGATCATAAGTCTGATACAGCATCAAGATTTGCCCTCTGAGGTTTGGTTACAAAAACTGTAGAAAATATAGGAATTATATATACTTCAAGAAAACTACCGATGTTGTCAGTATATTTTTATAAGTCACAGTGACACTTCCTATTACAACTTAAATAAAAATGGTATTGCTCTGTTCCTCTATATGATAGTTTTATCACTCATAAAAAATGGAAATACTTACTTATAAAACAAAGCTGTCCCCAGAACAGAATTACAGTCACAATTGGGAAGGCAATAATGAGAATACATTCATTTGAAGAAAACCATGAAACTAAGAATAAAGAAAGCAAAAAATCACAATAGGTATTTATTATAGTCAATTTCAATGCTAGTAAGGTCTAAAACATATCTTTTAATTATGCAACTGTATGATAAAAATAATGCTGTGGCCTTAATTTTTATGTGCACAAATATAAACCAAATTACACGTGTGTATGTGTATTTCATTTGTATAGCACATTCCATTTAGGAAACAAGAAGCTACAGTTACTTGTGTTACTCACCGCTTTTCTCTCCTATTTTGTCTTCTACAAGGAAGAAGCCAGAGCTCTGCATCCACCTATCTGAAACCCAACCCTATCAACCTGTACAGCCTTGCAGTAAGTATCTAAACACTTTTGCTTTTCAGAATTCTCAATTGTTACACAGGTATAACCCAGGACCCGCCCCTCAAAGGATTGTTGTGACAATTAACAAACTTAATATGTGCAAAGGACTTTAGTGCAAAGGTTAACAATTACCAAGTGCTGTAAATATCATATTGTGTGTGTGTGTGTGTGTGTGTGTGTGTGTGTGTGTGTTTTGGATGTCTCTAAGTGTAAAGTGCCTAGAAGTTACCTTCAGGTAATGATGAAGTGCTTCCTGACTCAGGAACCTACGTGAGGGAGCTCATTGTACCAATACTTCTCCTCCTCTGACAGTGACTGAGACAAAGACACATGTGCCCTGCCTTTTCTCAAACTGCCTCTGAACTCCAAGAATTATTCTTGAATAGTGAGACCTCAGAAGGGATCATTTGGGAGGTCAGGAGAACAGGGAAAAAATAAGAACCAAGATGGAGAATGTAAAGTTACAAATTTCCAACAACATCATTATATTGTCTACATTAAATGTACCAACAAAATTAATTTTTAAAAGGGATTATTTACATGTAAACCTGAGGTGCTTTAGGTTACTGAGGCAGCCATTATTAAGTGGGTCACAGGTGAAAATATATCCACACATCCCTTATAAAGGTAATCGAGATATTAAGACTTCAAATAAGATTTACTGAGAATTTTTAATACTAAGCTCAATTGTATTTTATAAACCCTGAAGACCATAATGTTAGGCATGAGGCTTTTTCTCTTACAATAAAGCCAAGGGATTGCACTGAAAACATTCATGGTTTGCTTGGGGAAAGGTGGCAGAAGACGGATACACAGTCTAAAGAATACTGTGAATACTACCCCAGGCAAGCACTGCCATTCCTCTGAAACCAACATCATTCATTTGAATCCTCCAATTCTCTGTTCCTCTATATAGCCTGTGAGGGTCTTAATGAACTTTTATTTCATAATGGTAGACATTCACTGCTTCCATTAAGCTTATGATGTTAAACATTGGTAAAATGCTTAAATTGATCCCCAGAATCCAGCCAAATAAATTCTATTGTGGATATCCTAGTTTTTCAGAATATAGAGCCCTCTATACAGTAGAAACTTTTTAAAGTGGACAGTTAAAGATTCCTGTTATGCTTTATATCTTGATGTTGCCTTAAAGCCTCATGTGCTCCTAAGTGGGGCTTTTGAGGTGATGGGATCATGGAGTATGGTACTCACCAGTGAATTATGTATAGGTCTATTATGGAATAAAATTTCAGGACTTATTTCTTCTTCAAAATTTGTAACTTAGAACCAACTGATCAACCTTTCCATGCTGCCCTGAGGTCTCCCAAGCTTCTGCTAACAATTATCCTATGTTCATCTTCTGTTTTATATTCTACAAAAGAGTGAAATCTTGCAATATGTCTTTCTATTCCTGGCTTATTTCACTTAATATAATGACCACTACTTCCATTCATGTGTTGTAAATCACTACATCTCATCCCTTTCACATAACTGAATAGTATTCCACTGAATATGCAGACCATCTTTCTTTTTCATTATAATATTTTGTTCTAATTTTCTTTTTAGTTTTTATTAGTTTTGCCATACATATTAATTACATTCCCCATGGGAAGTTATACATATACATAACACACCTTAATTCTTTTTTCATCCCCTTCCCTTGTGCTCCCTTCGTTTCTTGGCCCCCTTCCCTTTAGCAAAAGACCCATAGTATCTCCCTATTTCCTATTGTATTTTTTACTCTGCTCTGTATTTATATTTTGAGTTTCTCATTCATTCATCAACTGATGACACTGAGGTTGGTTTTATATCTGGGCTGTTGTGAATAGGTTGCAGTGAACATGAGAGTGCTGATGTCTCTTCAAGATAGTCATTCCTGTCCTTTGGATATAAACTCAGTAGAGTGACTGCTGGATCATAGTGTAGAATTACTTTAAATTTTTTGGGACTTCCATACTCTTTCCCATAATGGGTATACTAATTTATATTCCTACCATGAATGTGTGAAGGTTACACTCTGTTTTGTCTCTTTGATAATAAGCATTCTAACTGGAGTACAGTAGTATCTTTGTGGTATTTTTAATTTTATTGAAGATTAGTGATGTTAAAATTTGTTTCATTTACCTGTAGGGAATTTTGTACATATAGTTTTTTTTTATTCTAAATACAGGCTTTTAAGTAGAAAGTCAGAATGTACTTAAATATGCTTAAATCCACTAGTAAAATAAGCAATAAAAACAGAAATTCTTTACTTGAGTTAACTACTTTGCAGAACTCGCTAACCCAAGTTTGTAAGATAAAGCAGAGTCATGGTACTATAAACAAGGATGAAATCAATTCAGTTAAGTTGATTTCCAAGTTCCCTCATATTTTGGTCAAGAAAAACAACACCAAAGCAAGGATAAGCACAAAAACACTCTAGGAGTTACCCATGAGAACCTAATCTTTAAACTCGATTTTCTTCCTCTTTGCTGAGGGAGCATTGCTGCATTTCATCAAACACTGGAAAGGTACAACACTAAGCTAAACTATGCAAGGCTAAAGAATGGGAAATAGGCTCAAAAATTAAAGAAAGAAAGTACTTTTGGTGGCAGCAAATAAATGTAGAGGACCCCAAGAACAATAACCCTAAATAACATAGTCCTTAGGCCAAAATTTAGAGGACTCCACAATATACAAATAAAAAAAAAAAAACAGTAAATGAGTTTTACTGTGACAAGTAGAAGAGGAAGACATAACTTATCCTACATCTCTAAACATTGCATCAGTATTTATTATTACTAGCTGCTTTTTATTTCAGAGGTGTTCCTAGTCATATTTTGCCTCCCTTTAAATAATCGCTTGTAGCAGGACAAATAAAAAGGGAACTTTAAAAGACATCATATTGTCTTAGTCTGTTTTCTGTTGCTATAACTGAATACCCCAGACTTGGTTATTTATATATTTTTAAAAAGAGGTTTGATTCATGATACTAGAGGCTAAGATGTCCAGTAGCACAGCACCAGCCTCTACATAGCTCCTTGGGAGGGCCATATTGCTGCTTCACAACATGGCAGTAAGCTGAAGAGGATATGAGTATGTGTGAGAAAGAAAGAGCATAAGGGGTGAACTTTCTTTATAGCAATCCAATCCAGCTAAATCATTCCTTTGAGAATTAACCTACTTCCTCAAAGTAAGTATGAATCTATCTCAATGACCAAATGACTTTTAAAAGTCTCTATCTTCATAATGGCAACCAAGTTTCAATGTAAATTCCAGTGGGACAGACCATATTCAATCACAGCACTAACCAGAATGGTATTTTAGTTCTACCACTGTTTCTCCTTCTCTGGTTAATTCTGTTATTTCACATGTGTAGTTTCCTAATTTAGCATCAGCCTTATCCATTTGCAAAGAGCCATCTCCTTTTAATAATTCCTGGATATTGATTTTTGCAGTTGAAAAGCCACTGTCTGGAATGGATTTGTTCCTAGGTCCATCAAAGGTGAAAATAATTTTTCCTTTAAATTTCCATTTTACAAAAAGCTCCCTAGTGTCATCTGACTGTATGTTATTAACGTGGCATGGCAGGGTGACAGTTTCATTGCAGTTGTTGTAATATACAGATTTGATGTTTTTGAATAATAGCTGAGCTGAACCTGGAAAAGAAAAAGAAAAATAGTTTATTGAAGAGCAGTGATTCAAGGCCTAGTGTGTTGGTGCACACCTGCAACCCCAGCACTCAGGAAGCCTTTCTCCAAAAACAAAACATAAGTAGTTAAATTGTTTATTTATAAACAGTAAAGCAGTGAGCAAAACTAGAAGGTGAAAAATAAAAACAAGTTTCTAAATATTAACTTGCACATTTGATAGACAACAGAACCTTTTTATTCATTTGCAGCAATAAAAGGATGCATTACCATGCAAGTGGGGAATAAATTCAGAAATTGTTTTGGAACATGCATATGCCATATCTGGTTTTAAAAATTCTGAAGTAATCATTTCTTCCTACTGATATATTTTGTTATAGTTTATATCTAGATACCCCACCAAAGCCTCATGCCCTTGTAGGTGGGGCTTTGAAGAGGTGACTGGATCATGAGTGTGTGATAGTGGATTAATCCACTGATGGGCTGACTGCTGGATGTGATGCTGGTGGGAAGAGGTGGGTCACTATAGGCATGGCCTGGAGGGTGTATATATATCTCTTATCCTTCTTTTATTCTCCTTGCTTCCTACCTGCCACTCCATAAACTGTTCTCCTCTGCCATGACACCCTGCCTTGGAGCCAGCCACTTGTGGACTGACTTCCTATACAAACTGAGCCAAAATAAACCTTTCTTTCTTTGACCTGTGGGTGTTGGGTATTTTGTCCCAACAATGAGAAAGTAACTATTTCTTACCAAGGGAAAATTTTGAACAGAAAATCAAATCCAATATTAAGTCTTGGCTTCTGTATACTTCTAAACAGAACTTGCTAAACTCATATGAAATTTATTTTTACCTTTATATTGCATTTCCAAAAGAAGTGGCAAAAAACATGGCCAGTTCTACTGTATTTTAATATAAAAAGTGAGATGAATCAAATCATATCTTTCCACTCTCCTGAAATGTCTTAGAATACTAATGAGAAAACATCCTCTGTGACTATTTTTCCAAAGAAAAATATAGACAGCAATAGATATATTGTATGCAACTCTTACAAAGGATCATTCACAATTAAATAGCATCATCTTACCCTACACTTTCTGGAAGCTTCAGAACCATATCCAAATGTGTATTACAGGTACTCTTTCCTCCAAGTAACCACAAATCACTGAAAAAGCCAAGAAACACATTGAACTAGAAGCAGATACTGCTAACAACTAGGGTATATTCCATCAACTCTTCAAAATAGCATAAAGTATGAATAGCTGCTCTGTACAAGCTGGCTGAGTAAACAGATGTAAATGAGACATAAGAGAAAGATCCAAAAGATTCCCCCAAAGGTACTTTTATTTTATGGCTGTTCTGGGCCCTCGTAGACATTGGCATTGACTGCAGCAGGCTTGGGACCATATCCCAGATGATTCCACTCTACAGCCTCTGTGGATGATTCTGTCCCTCTGTTCACAGCCTTCTATTTTTTTTTCCTTTAAAAGAAACTTCCCCGTACCTTTACAGGGTTCAGCCTGTGCACTCTTCCCGCTTATGCTATAGCAACAGTCCTAATGAAGCCTTGCCAGACAGCATATTCTTGCCTATTCATGCTTCTATATTGAGTAGAGTGTACTGAGCTGGTGTAGTAAGAGCTGATAATGTCAAAGGCTGCTGGCTTTTAAAGTCATCAGCAGCCAGAGCTGATAATTTGCTGGCATGAAAGCCACCATTGGTCAGGAAGGGTAACACTGACAACTGCTATTAACAAAGTATGGTGGAGAGCAATGGAGAATTGTTAGGAGCCATAAGCTTGAGCAGCTGGAAGAGCTCTGAGGCCTGCCTGTCACTACCTGCTCTGAGCATCAGAGGAGGAGCGCTAATAACACTAATTAACAGCTGTTAGCCATTGCCATTCAAAGCTCAGGGCTTATAACACCAAAAGAGCTACACACTGCCAACTCATGGTTTCTTAATTGTACAAGAACATCCGGCTGGTAAATCACATCTTGGGAGCACTTGCAGTCCTCTTTGGAGGGCCCTGAAGAAAAGGGTTGACAGTGGTCATGGAACAAACCCATATCTGATTTCCGTATTATGTGTGTCTAAGAATTCACACTATACACGGACACAAGCTCTCATCAGTCAACTAAAATAGATGACACTGCGAAGGAACTGCAGTTATCTTCCATGTTCTTCATCCATTTATCAGTTCTTTTACTTAGGGAGTTAGTTGACTCATCCTTCAAAAGTCAAAGCACTAACAGATATAAATAAAATATAAACTTTGACAATAATTAATTCTTAGTACTTCTTCCTTATATATAAACCATAATAAAAAAAATCAGGGGCATAGGACGTTATTAGTCTAAGAAATAATTATTAAATAAATATGCACTAAATAATTGAACGAAATGCTGTACAGTGAATATGATCTGGAAAATGGTAAAAAAAAAGTGAGTATTTTTTGGTACTCAGTCTTAAGCAACTAACTTCCCTATGCCTTATTTACTGTCTGTGTTTGAGGATCAAAACACTAGATGACTTGATATCACTGTGGTGAGCATCAAAGGAAAAAATATACAGGCAAATGCTCCCTAAATAACACTACATTATAACATTATAGGGCAATATTATGAAAATGGGACAATGTGGTATTTTAGCAAAATAAACTGTACCTTATCTAATTTGTTCAAACGGTTATACTTCTGGGAATTTTCCATCTGAATCAGCTTTTGAGCATTTATAGCTCACCTCTTCCAGATCTCTACCTTTCTAGATAACCTAATATTAGGAAGCTCCAGGCAAAACTTGGGCTGTAAATTGCATCCTTTAAACCCTTGGTGCTTTGAATTATTTCCCCAGAGAGAGAAGCACTGAGGGGAGAAACTATACCAAACAGAGAAAAAACAAAGGGACCATGACATTGGAATTACAAAGGAAGGCAGGTGTCAGAAAATGGGGTGAAATTTTTTGATGAATTTTGGTGTTTTCAGTAGAGTGCTGAGAACTGTCTAACAGATCCTTTGGAATAATCTGATTCTGTAGGGACCTGGGCCTTCCTGTTACTGTGATTGGGTTATTTTACAACTTTATAAGTTACCCATAATTGATAGTAATTCACCGGATGACTGGTCTCCAAGTAGATACAAATTTTATTTTACTACTGATTTCCATTTGCTAGAAGAGAGGATTAAAATATCATGTTCCACTGACTAAACTAACCAATTTTGCATCTATTAGTAAATTACTTCCAACATTTTGCATGCCTATAAATGTTAATCTCTTCCAATTCTCCTTTAATTGCTTTTCTCTTCACCTTGGCTTGCTCTTAAATTGAGTTAAGTCAAAATTTTTAAATGTGTCCACTTTATATTTGTATAAGTCATTTAAAATTTATATTTGCATAAGTGATTTTAACATTTTTTCTTTAGTAAATGATAAAAGTGAAGGGTCCATTTACCCTGTCTAACTTCTTGAGAAAGCTCTAATTATGAAAGAAGTAGGTAGAAAACACTCCATAATTTTATAACTTATATTTATAAAATAAATTTTCTAAAGAATACAAAAAAACACTAATTTTACTGCTTTATTTCTCTTAGTAAAACACTTCATAACTTAGGTAATTTACAGAGAATAAATGCTGCCACTAAAATTTAAAGTGGAATTAACCTGGGTAATCTATGATGTAAATAAACTTGGCATTAATAATTAATAAGGATAATCCAAAATATTTCAAATGTAAAGGATAACTTCATCCTCTATAAAAATGTACAAAAATTACTAAATAGTAAGATGATGTGATCTGATATTTTTCTCATTAGCCTGGTGCCTTGTGTTGAAATGGCAAAGTGAAGAAAAGATGGAAAATATAGAGAACAAGTAAAGGAAAATAGATGAGTAACATGAACAACAAAATTGTTAATAAATAAGACATAGCAGTATAAATCACTTAGTAGATAAATTTAACCAAGAGTGATGTCAGAGTTACAGATAGAATAGGAAAACATTTTTATATAATGTGCCAACAGCTCTCTGATACTGTGGGATGGATCCACCAAACAGATTCCAGGATCTTCTGTATGGTGAGCAAAGAATTGTAAGCATATATCTGATAGTGAAAGAAGATTAGCTACACTTATTGAAGATCATGATAAATGATCATGAGAAAAACATGGCACAAACAGAAAAATGGTGCTGGGACAACAGGAAAAGCAAAAAGCATACCAATAAATCAGGCTTTCAGATTTCTCAAGAGATGCACCCCAGCCTGGGTGCCTCTCGCTGGGTCTCTAGATAAGACTGAGAGGAATGATTTACAGAGTGCTGAGTTATCCAGAGTCAGGGCTTCCAACAAGCATGCGTGTTCAGCATTCACTCTGATTAAATGATGTGTAATGATGGCAAGAAAATTGGCCCCAGGATGCTGCACAAACTCAAGTGGGTGCAGGGGCGTGGTCTCCCAGCCTCTGTACTAATTGGACCTTTTGACTTCCCAACACACAGACCACAAATTAAACTGTTTCAGACTACAGTCCCAACAACAGCCATGTCCAGCAGTTGCAGACAAAGCCTAATCATTGTAGTCAGGGCACACAGGGCCAGCTCAGATATTTTTCGTTTTGTTTTGAAGCAGGGTCTTGTTATAAAGTTCAGACTAGCCCTTGAATTTATGTGTAGCCCAGGCTGGCCTCAAACTGATGAAGATCCTCTTGGCTCTCAAATTCTGGGGTTATAGACATCTATGCTTGGCCCAGCTAAGAAATTTTAAGCCGCCAGCGTGCCTTGAGAATAGCCTGATAGGAAACATTGTGATAGGATGAGGGGATACAATGATGAAAAAATGTAAGAATTATCTTTGAGAGAAACTTAAAATTCCCATACAGAAAAGGAATATGGCTCATACAGTACAAGGTCATAAATATCACTGTGTATGAAAAAAGTGCTTTGGATGGGCAGAAGAGCAATCAGTCTTTAGGATTCCTAAAAACATTTATGTCACTACTAAGACAGGAGAAGATTTTTCATAGTGGGCCCTTAAATCTTTCCTTTTTTTTCTTCTGCGGTACTGGGACTGAACCCAAGGCTTTCCCACTGAGCTACCTCCTTACCCCATTTTTCTATTTATTTTTAGATGAAGTCTCTCTCACTTGCTAAGTTTTCCAGACTGGGCTGGAACTTGCAATCCACCTGCCTCAGCCTCTAAGAATGGTTTGATAATAGGCATGTGCCAATTTTTTATCTTTCCACAAGTATGATGTAAATTTTCTCTTCTTTAACAACTTTTGAACCTTTTCTTCCTTTGCTGGTTATCCTATGTCCTCCAAAACAGTCCTGTCTCACTACTTAAGAGTCCTTCAGAGGAGGCAGATGCCTTAAAAATTTCCCTCCTACAAACTTACGTGCAATCTGACTATCCACGTCTCTTTTCGTCCCACTTCCTTCTTTTTCAAAACTGAATCCCTTCGCCGGAGAGCTAGTTTTTATTTCTCCTGCTGATCCATCTACCTTTAGGACTTTTGCAAGCTAATTATCATTCTCCAAACCCCCTTATTGAATTTGTGAGGCATTTAAAAAATTCTTCCAAAAATTCTTGAGTATTCATCAGCCTTAAAATTCCCACATGGTAGACTCTTTCCTTGCATGCTAAGGTAATTTTCTTCAAAAGCGGTGCACTCACTCCTTAAATCTTTACCACCTGGCTTCCATCCCTTTCCCCTATTACTTCACCACTTCTGCTCTCAACTAAATCACCAATGATGCCTCCTAAACAACCAATGTGCTTGGTTTCCTTTCTGTCCTAACATCTCTGCAGTTCTTGAATCAGTAGGCAGCTCCTCATCCTGTGTTGCTTTTGTTCCTTGGCTTCTGTGGTTGCTCATGAAGAGGAATTTCCTCCTTCTTTGTCTATCTCTCCTAGCTTGTTTTCTTGAAGTCTTCTTGGCTCTCACTAATGGGAATGTCCTAAGAGCTTTATCGCCAGCACCTCCTTGATCAAGCAGTATTCTTTCCCATAGTTTTAACTGCCTTGCACTTTTCCCCTTACTGAACAAAGCCCACATTTCTTCTAAATTTCAAGCCTTAGATAATTAACTATCTGTTGTGCATTTCCAACTGGAAGTCCTAATATAACTTCAAAGTCAACACATCTGAAAACCTATGCACCCTTCGCTACCCTCTTTTCAAATCCTTATCTCCATATTGTATTTTGTATTATTTACCAGTCACCCAGACTTGGGCCTTGGAATCACACTAGATTCTTCCCTTTCCTTAGTAATGGAGAATTCTTGGTAGGTTCAATCTATTCAATATTTCCTAAAGTCCATATGTGTTGAATGAATGAATGAGACATTTATCCTTTCTCTTTTGAACAGCTGTAACCTCCTAACTGGTTCCCAGATTTTATCCTCAATGTTTCTCCCTCCTTGCCCCAGTGAATTTTCCATAGTTCCCAAAATAACTGTCCTAAGTGGAAATGTGTGCTCCTTTGCCTGATATGTTTTAACCACACTCTTCCCCAGTGTCTCCTTAGGCTAAATTCTATCTGCATTAGCCTGCACTTGAGATCCTTCAAGACCCTTTCCAGCCAAACTTCCTGTCCTTTCTCACTTCCAACTAAGGTCCATTCCTAATGACCTTCTTGCAACACTATGTATATGCAAAAGCACTCTCATCTCCATGTCTTAGCACTTGCTATTCCCCAGCCTACAGAGGTCTGTATCCTTCCTAAAGTCATCAGAGTAGAGTGTATAGTAGTTAAAAGCCGGATCTTGGTTTCAGACTCAGCTCAAGAACTTCATAGTTGTAGAGACTAGTTATTTAGCTTGTTTACTTACATGACCTTATCTATAAAATGTTTAGAGTGATAGCATCTGCCTCATGGTGTTAAAGTGAAATAATAAAAATGAAGTTCTTTAGTATCATTTCCATACATAGCAAGTGCTCAATAAACGGCAGCTACAGTTTATTAGATTTTGTTTTTTGTTCTAAAGGCCCACTGAGATGTTCATTCCTGACCCACTTTCTTACTACCATTCAATTGTTTTTGACCTATTATTACTGTTCTCATTGCCCCTGACTCAAATATTATCATAGCAGCTACTAGAAAATATTATCAGTACAGTTTTAATTAGATCATTCCATTAGACTCAGGAGAGAGGACAATGTCTTCATTAGCATCATACCAAGGGTACAGAAAATAGAATTCAATCCATTACTCTTGCATTAAAAATGTTTAAAATAGGAGATATCATGGTGGACTAGAGTCAGCAGCACTCACAAGACATCAGGATCCAGTGGTATTTGAAAATGGGAACAAACAAAAACCCAAACATGGGATGGCAACTTGAAGAAGCCCACCAGATGAATTCCAGTAGCAGGAATGTTTAGAAAAAGAAACTGGGCCGCCTCTTGATCCAAACACTGCTACAGCCCAGATGCAGTGACCATGTCATTTTATGAAAGGACCTAACCTCCTGAGGAAGAATCTAAATACAGCAGAGTTGGCTAGGCTGCTGCCACAGGCACCCAGCCTGGCAGATGCCACCCAGTACACACCTGTGCTCGCTCTCTTCCCTTTGGGAGACACAACCCAATGAGTGAGGTATTTGTAAGAGAGGGCCACCTCAGATTGGAGGACTGAAGATGGCACAGGCAAGAGAATCATTCAGAGGCCATAACTGAATTAGGGCCTATGAGCTCTAGCGACAGAAAGAAACAAGGGCATAATCCAGGAGAGAAATCTGGAACCAGACACTGAGCAATCCATGGGATAGCGGTTGTAGGTATATGCAGCAGCTGTTGTGAGAGCCAACCTGACTCCATCTTGAGCCTCAACACCAGCTTGTACCTGTGCTTGGACAAAGTGCTTGTGCTTGGACAATGCACCCAACCCCCCCCCACACACCCTGCTTAGCAGTAAATTTGCTGCAGTTTCAGGATGTTCTATGGCTCACCTAGTGAGTGAAACTTCCTTGCCCCCATCTTCACTAAAGTAGCATGGTTCTGCTTCTGGAAGATTCTGCTTGTTCTAGTAGTACATGAAAAAATATTTAGTGTCTTTCACATTAGAGAAATGCAAATCCATACAGAACTGAGATCCTTGTTAAGAATGAGTATGATCAGAAAATAAAAAAATAATAATAATAAGTCCTCTTGAGGCTGTGGGGAAAAAGGAATCTTTCTCCATTCTTAGGAATATAAACAAGTCCAACTACTCTGCAAATTATATAGCCATTATTTTAAAAAACTGAAATATAAATTCCATTTGACACAGCTAAATCTTTTCTGGGTATCTTCCTAAAAATGTTTAAAACATCATACTTCAGTAATACATACATATCCACATTCAGCATCAGAGTTCATAATAACTAAATTACAGAAGTGGCACATATGGCCATCAATAGATGAATGAACATAGAAACATGGTGAATATTCATGATAGAGTACTACTCGGCCAGAAAGGATAAATTTGAGCCATTTGTTGGAAAATGAATGGATCTTGAGGTTGTAATGCTAGGTTAAACAAATCAGACACAGAAGATTAAATATCATTTGGTTTTTCTTAAATGAGAAATACAAAGTATGAATTTTTTCTTTTCTTTTTCTTTTTCTTTTTTTTTTTTTTTTGGTACCGGGGATCAAACTTGGGACCTTCAGCTTGTGAGGCAGACAGTGAAACTACTGAGCTAAATCCCCAACCCCAAAGTATGAATAATTTAAAGAGCAAATAAATTAGAAATGATAAACAAGGAGACAGACTTTGTGTAGGTGGGAAGGAAATCTAGGAAAGTGGGGAGAGGGGAGCACAGAACACAAACAGCAAAAATGATCAAGATGCAATACATATATTTACTAATTCTCAAAGATGAATGCAACTATTATGTATCATAATATCATCATAAACATACCAATAAAAATGTATGAATCTCAAAAAAGAAAGTCTCTTCATGTAGGCAGGGATTCATTCTTCTTCCATATTTGTGGGTGTTTTTATTTTTGTTGTTTTAAGAAAAAGGATCTTGTTATGCCGCCCTCACTCGTCTTGAAATCCCCTGAGCTCAAGTGGTCCTCCTATCTCAGGCTCCTGAACAGCCAGAAATACAGGTGCCTGCCACTCTCACTGTTTCTCAATTCTATAGGCCAGATCATGGAATCGCAAAGCTGCATAACTTATTGGAAATTTTCTTGTCAATTATATGCTTGGATAGAAAAGTTCCTTAAAATTCACATGAAAATATCTAAGAATGATTTTCTTAGAGGGCGATGTTTCAGTTGGATCTTGCTGTTAAATAGGAATGTCAGGGTAAAGAAAGAGCTTACTAGGCAAAATAAATAACATTTTTACAGAGGAATGAAGGAAGTGAATGAATAAGTGAGAGCAGGTTAGGTCTAGGATATAAGGATGAAAAGATGGCAAAGAAAAGCTGTAAAAGCTTCCTTGAATGTCATGATGAAAAGTGCAGCCAACCACTTAGCTTTATTTTCACTTTAGAAATAACATTGACAGCATTTTGAAAGGTAGACTGAGGCTAGAAAAGAAGAGAAAGTAAGACCTATTAAAAGTCTACTGCATCAGTCCAGGAAAATGATAAATAGATAAGGGTTAAAAATGACAGTAAAAGGGCAGGGGATCTAGCCCAGCAGCACAGCACCTGCCTGGCAAGTGCAAAGCCCTGAGTTTGATTCCAGGTGTGAAAAAAAAATAACAGTAAAACTCAATATTTTTATAATAAAAAGAAGTCAGACATGTAAGAGTTGAGGGATTTAAAAAGAGAAGCCAAAAATTTTCACCAAAGTAATATGTGTAACTAGTTGTATTGTGGATTAATTATAGAGAAAAGAGCCTTGAAAATTGGGAGAGAACATTCCTTCAATATTTAATAGTTTAATCATTAAAGTACTATGGTAAAATGAAGTGGAGATATCCAGTAAATTCCCAGACCTATGAAGCTGGATTTAACAAGAAAGGTCAGAGGGCTGGCGATTTAGCTCTGTGGCACTACGTCTGCCTCATAAGCGAAAGGTTCTGAGTTTGGTCCCTGGCACCAAAAAAGAGTTTTTTAAAGAAGAAAGGTCAGAGCAATAAAGGTTTTGAAATCTGCAAGAATGTAGTTGCTAACTGAAATCATGAATATTAAACAAAATTTCCTAGACTCCTTATAATTCAAATAGAGGTAGACAATAAGATCTTGAGTATTTACATACCTAATAGTTTAAAGGGAACAGGCCAAACAAGAAGTAGAAGAGATAAAAAGTATATGACTGTAGTGTAAATAAGAATAAAAATGTATAGTAGATAATGTAAAATAGGAATAAAAGGTCCAAAAGGGAAGGGGAAGTGGGAGAGGAGGGGAAAAGAAAGAAGGAAATGGAATTAACATGATAAAATAAAAAATGAAAACAAAGTCATTGTAAATAGAGAGGGGTGGCGGGGGTTGAAGGCAGCACAGGGGAATGGGGAAAAAAATAAGAACCAAGATAGATTATGTAAAGATACAAATCTCCAAAGATGAATGTCATTATATTGTATATCTACAATGTACCAATAAAATTAATCTTAAAAAAAGTATATGACTACTACAAACTAAGGAAGAGTACTTACTAAGGATAAAATAGGTGTTAAATGCTCTCTAGATTGCACATTTGCTATTTTATCTCTAGCAATGTCAGTGAACAAGAGAATAAGATAAAAATTGAACTTGGGAAATAAATGAAAAGAGAATCAAGCAATAGTGAATCTCTTAAAATAAATCTGTCACAGTAAATATTTCAACTTTATTAAATGCAGTATATAAAATGTCTAAGATATATTAGGCAGACAGCACATTTTAGTTATTCCTATTTGAAAAGGATAATTTCATTTTCCTTATAGTATCTCATTTCTAACCCTTGTTTTTACTGTCATCTTAACTCTAAAAGTTAGTGGAAACACATAACAACTGGGCTGGGAATTTAGCTCAGTGTCACCATGCCTGCCGTGCAAGCGCAAGGTCCTGAGTTTGACCCCCCCCATACCAGAAAAAAAAAGAAAAACAAATACACAATAACTTTATTGCCCAGATAGTTGTTTTTATTCCATTAAGTTTATTGGTATATTTTAGGTCTATATTATGATCACATTTATCATTGGGAATCTGTACCTGTACATTTTACTGAGTTAATATTACTCTGAGAAGGGTAGCTAGAAAATACTAACAGAAACTAAGAAAATGAAATATAATCATTTGAACCTTATTCCTAAATTCTAACCAATAGCACTGAACTTTGAATAAAAATATTGTCCTACTTGAGATTTTTCAGATATTTAGCAACCTCCACCTAGTAGCTGGTTCTAATTTATATTTACAATCACAGAAACTGCTTCTGTAATGTTATACTATTTAATGTTTTACAACATTACTTTTATATTTTTGAATAGTTCACTGCAATCAATGTTTGCTCATAATAAAGGTTCCATAAAATAATAGTAAATAAAGAATAAATGATATTTTAAATTTTAAAAAATATTCACCACAGTAATAAAGCAAAAAGAAAGGCAACAACTGAAAGCTTAGACACAGGGATAAACAAGGACAAGGGTATTTTAGTTCTTGGATTGCTTTTCTTCTGTAATACTGGGTAAAACTTGATCATAGATGCAAGATAAGGGGAAGCGGTCAATAGAGAGGGCAAGATGTAGGATGCAAGAAGGAAGAATTAAACTGACTGAGCAGGTCTCCAGGATGGTAGAAGTCAGAGTAGTACACAGGCTGCCTTTCCCCTGGAAAGGGGAAAAGGGATTCTTCTGACACTTGGTGAGAAGACAATGACAAGAAGGTCATCTGAGACATCATAGGTTATCTTAGTAATGGTGGGAAGGCAGCTGAGGGACCAAAGCACTCACCATTACTGTTTGCAATGGAGTAGGAAGTTATCTGCTCAGAAGGAATGTTCAAGAATGGGCTGAGAAGCTCTAGCAGCTGCTAAGGTAAATGAAGCAAAGATCGTGAGTAAAGATATCTGCCAAAAATGAATCCTACCAATTTCCCCTCAGAACTAGCCACTGGCATGAAGAACAGGAATCTCACACTGAGTAGGGTTAGGGACAGACAGGAGGATCTGGTCGCACCTCTTCCTGGTGGAGACTAAAATAAAGGTATGGGGTAGAGTGGCGAGTCCACAGTGACTTAATCCTGACTCAAAGTAATCCCTGCACAGGATTTAAAAGTGAGCTTATGAGAATGGAAGTGGCCAACCTGGACTTATGAGAGATGAGACGTTTTAAACTCAATGACATCCAGAATTATAGCCTTATCAAGAATTTCAAATACATTAAATACCACTGAGGGATAAAAACAAACTCTATTTTCAGTAAACTGCATTGTAATTTATTAAGAAGCATTGTATGAAATTTGTCCATAAGCCAAAGAGAGACTTGCCAAAAGCTTAGAATGTAACTTGGGTTCACGTATGCTTAAAATGAAAATGTACAAGTATTAAGATATGCACATTAATTCTCCAAATCTAAATCTCAAACCTTGGAGTCGACAAGATTTTAAATCTTGTACAACTGCTCCACGGATATGAAATGAAACATTCAGAGGAGGGTGAGGCTTTTAATTCCTGTTTCATCTTCATCTCACCACAGAGAATGAAAATCCAGATTCTGTTGTCTTAGTTTAGGTACATCAGCATTAAGTTTTCTACATATTCTGTATTTTTACTTTACTACCAAATGAGCCTAGCAAAATTGATCCTATACTATTATTATTTTTGTTGTAGAGTAAATGCCTGCACTAATACACAAAGTTGAAAATAATGTAATTTGCATTAGACTCAGACATGAGACATAAAAATGTAGAAATTTTTATTTTATATAAAAAGCTATGACCACAAAAATCTAAAAGGCAAAGACAGGTAAAATGGTTATGTGAAGGTGATGTCACAAAACATTACTGTATTAAAAGCAATGCCTTTCCTAGCTACAATTGAATTCACATTAAGAAATTCAAACAGCGTTGGTAAAAGGAAGTGATTATTCTGGACTCA